AATAGGGGGGGGGGAAAGAACAACCCAAAATATTGTATTTGTGAAGAGAAAAATAGAGGAGTGTGACTGAAAGTTATGGATGTGGAACAGCCATTAGCAATTCTGAACACCCGAGGAAAAAACCTCGAAGATCAATACACACACACAGTCCTTGACTCCCACTCGGAATTAGGAGAAGGAACAGTTTCTCAGGGGGTAGATTAAAAAAAGAAAAGAAAACAAAAAAAGAAAGAGAGAAAGAAGAAGGAGGAGGAAAAAGAAGACAGGGAAAAAAAGCACGACGTATGATTGATCTCACTTCCCACGTACGCTCTACTTAAATTAGAAGTGATAATGAAACAAAACAAAACAAAACAAGACGAAACGAAAACGAAACACAAAACATTAAATTTTAAAAATAAATTGTTTTATAGCTAGCTGGCGTCATGACGCGTTCACCCAAGCGTGGAATTTCATTCATCGGATCGTCACGGGCTTCAGTGCAAGTTAATGGGATAATATCTTGCTTACTGAACTCACGTTTACCACGCCCAGGACGTTATACAGATCGATGATGATGATGATGATGATGATGATGATGATGATGATGATGATGATGATGATCTGTAAATCAAGCAAGACCCTCCTTATCTAGATCTACTCTGCTTTTCAAATAATATTGTTGTTGATGATGATGGTGATATTTTTAAGAAATGTTATAAAACTTTAATTCAGAAATACTCAAGTCTCCATTAACTTTTTTTTATTGCTGTTGGGTTTTTTCTATTCGTATTTGCAACGACGACGACGACGGCGATGATGATGGTGATGATGATGATGATGATGATGATGATGATGATGATGATGATGATGATGATGATGATGATGATGATCTTTTACACTGACTGCCGTTTCGCACACCTATCAGCACCACTATTGAACGACCGAACCACTTCGCACACAAACTCGCGCGCACGCACGGAACAACAACATAAACAAAAACTTCACGCGTTAGCTAGACGTAAAAGAAATGCTTCGCTGGCGTCGCAACCTCACCTTATTCTTATAATCCTCTGCTAAAACACTGACAGATAATATGCCGTCCACAAGGAAGTTTCTCTCGTATAATTTCCGAGACACAAACACACACGTGCGAACAAGCGAAATATCCGCACCTCCTCCTAAAAAGAACGATCGAACAGAAGAATAGAAGAGAAATCCGCTCCTTCTGTTCAGGCCGCCGAATTCACCGCGCAAGAGGCACACACAGACACAGTCACACACACCTGAGCGAAGAGAATCCTATAGCAGTATTAGCAGACGGGGGAAGGAACACTCAGGAGAAGAGAAGGGAAGAGAATACGGCAGGGGGAGCGAGGGTGCGCGCGCGCGAGGGAGCGCGGGAAAGAGGAACCAGTGTGGTGTGGTGGTTGTGGTGATCGGCGACCGCTGTGGCTGCTGTTGGATTAACCACAGGAATAGGCGGCGGGAGAGCGGAGGTGACAACAG